TGTTGATTTGGACTTCGTTTGCGGTTCGAATCGTTAGTACTTGGTTTATATATTGCAATGTAGATTGAAAATAACATGACAATACGTGTTATTCGGTGAACAGATGATAACTTCTAAATGTAACTCAACGGATTCATATTATGAACTCGCAAGAACTCGTAACGTGGTGATGATGATAAGTTCAAAGTTTTCTAAGCTTGAATTTGCCAATGAATCCAAGAATTGGATCATACTTGAAGTAATTCATTGCTGAACCAGTGTGCTTTCGATGCAAACATGGAAATAGAACGACTGATTAGAGAGTAATTTGAAAATTGACCTTACCTTAAAGTTCTTCACTTTGAATTCAAGGTCATTCATTTGATCTTTGAGAGATTTTATTTGTCCCAATTCAGTCCTCTCAAATTCGCGTTTTTCTTGCAAATATTGTTTCAGAATTTCTGGATCAAACCCTGCAACAAAATGTAAACTTAGTTACAACATTGTATGTTATAATGTTTAAAGGAGCAAATTGACAATATACCATTTTCAACTGTATCAATAATCCCACCCGTACCCTTTCACTTCACATTTTCACGCCAATGAGGAGTGCTTTATATCTTTGTTGAACCGCAGTAACTTAGGGATTTACGACGATTGTTTACTAACGTGTATTACCAGAGTTCGTTGCTGGCGTAATAAAAAATGTCAGTTTCCTGCAGGATAGAACAATACCTCAGGATTGGACAATTCAAGTGTGGATTACAAATCCCTCGACACTTGAAAATGAGAAACTCCGCAAAACTTTAATGGGTGCACACTTAATAGAATTGCTCATCTTCATCTTCAAAGATGAAACGAACTTTAAGTCTTTTTAGTGAAGATGATAAAAAAAGGCTGTGAGTGTTTGTATATGGATGACCAACACCACTTCCGTTAACCTAAGACAAATTTATATTGTATCTCCAGTTAGCATCAGCGTTGCCGTATTGGAGGTGTCTAGCATTTGACAGTTCCGGTACTAGATTGTCTGTTTGGAACTGATACAAACCTGAAGGGTTGTTATTACGATCCCTGGAAGGATGGGCTGATTCGGCCAAAAGACATGTCTTAGAGCTGTCTTCAAACTTATAAAAGTGACATTTAATCAATGTTTCAGATTTACACGCATTAAAACAATCAGCGTCATTTCTTCCTTCTCTTTTAATTACCATTTGAGAATTATCGTTAAAACCTGAACGGGAGAAAATAAATATTTAAAGCTTATAATATTGTAACCGCTCAGTATGAGAATATTTAAGTAACAGAACATTAAGATTACTGTTAAAAAACAGTTTTTAAATAATTAGGTTAACTCGGGAACATAAAAATATTTAGAGTCAGTTGGCCGATATGATTGAAAATTTCCCTAAAAAAAATTCCACAGTTTTTAAGCCATGGTGATGCAAGTAAACTTCAGATCTTAGCCTTGAAATTAAATAACCGCACGTATAAGCTTAATGTTTAAAACCATCGTGTCCAAACCACACCCCCATTCGTTATATACTTTCTCGGTTAATAAGACCATGTCAAAATCCGTATTCGTAATATACGATGGTTTAAAACATGCTTTAAATGGAGAATTCAACAGTAGCAGAAAAGTTAGATGCCAAACGTCTTTTTAGTTGAACATACTTACCATTGTCGCCATTGATAGTGTTTGACATGAAAAATATAATGAACAATAAAGCACTCCACCGATACATACTGAGTCTTGATCCAGATAGCGATGGACTAATCTATGATAAAAAAGGATAATGGCAATTTAAGAATGCAGAGTACGCCTGATATTATAGCTCTTGTACTTGTAGGCTAATCTTGTCGAGGTCACCCTGACATTGTTAAAATGATCAGCACAGAAAATATTCCTATCATAAATATCAGCTTATTCAAATAAAAAAATATTGGTCCAGAGGCTACGAGGGTAAAACTTGACAGGATCGGGTCAAGCCGTAAGGTAAGTCAGTTAGGCAGGATGCCATGTGCGCCCAATACTTTGGTTTGGTTGGCCAGTTAGTAGTACATCCGCACTGTTACTCAGTTAACTCAGTAGGCTACTGACTAAGCCCATACAGTCATTCTAGGTCTACTAGGAGTGGCTTTAGTATAGTATTATCAACAGAGTACGTGTGTATCCATTTGTTTTATTCCATTGCATTGTCACATACTTGCGGCATCGGCATTGATTTCGAGGTTCAGCTTCACTGGCTCCAGTCAAAAACAGAGTCTCTTAACCGTTTTTTTTTTAACAATATTAGCTAAGTCTTTCCTCATTAAATAAAGGTAGCCAACGCTTTAAGTACTTACAATGTATTTGTTAATTAAAGAATTCTGAAAAGTGTACTTCTATGAACAATACGGTTCATTTTCTACAAGATTTGTAGGTAAGTAGAAAGCAGGAAGTAGAAAAATGGCGTAACCGAACAACGTGACGTCATTGTCGTTAGCCTAGCAACCATTCCTCCTCGAGAATAGGTTCGACAACAAGAAACACATGATAGCGACGTTGATATCAAAGGATGAAACCAGCCTGTTAAAATAAATAATTGAACGTACGTATCAGTGTGTGTAGTAGCCTATTAATGCGGTCAAAGCTGGGTCGTACATTGCGTTAATAAGCACGGAACCTACAACAGATGAACAGTGTGCGAACAGGTCGCAAACGCTGCGCTTCACTGTAACCCGCATTGACGAGAATAAAATCTGGCCGCTCAGTTTCACGATATTAACCTTTGAACATTTCAAAAATTTCTGTACGAAATGGCACGAACCCCTGCACCCATTCCATACTACTCGGGGAAGTTCACGAAGACTTCTTAAAGGTCTTTGTCAGTGTCTGTAAGGGCCTATTGATTTAGAAAGGATATGATAGAATTCAATTGCATAATATTAGCTTTATAACATGATCTAGAATTTCCATTGATCTCTTTTCGTTGAACAAGCGAGTGGGAGCCTGATGCTTAGTTGTTACTCCTGAAAATTGTTACTCCTGAAAACTGCTAAAAATACTATGTCTCTTGAAAACTGCTAAAAATACTATGTCTCTACCTGACAAAATATAACAAAGAAAAAAAATTCAATAGAATTTATTGTTCATTAACATAACAAATTTCTTACAAAATACGATTCACACTGGTTTTATAAAATTTTAATTTAGTTTGAATAACGTAACATTCATACGTATGTCTTATGTTGTCTTATCCAGCTTACTTGTTTTTGCCAATGTAACTCTATACTACCTCTTAAGATGACCAAAAACTATAAATAAATAGATAGATAAAATAAAATAAGTCTTTGTTCATCAATGGACTTAACTGATGTCAATAACTATACAACACAACATAATCCCTCTATAATCCAATAAACTAAATAATAATTCATTAAACTTTGTAAGTTTGAAACATGTTTAGAACCGTTTTTTCAATAATTATTTAGTTTAATCGTAATATATCATCTTATAAAGAGATTCTATTCTAGAGTCTTGGTAAATCAAACTGATGAATATACATGTACTGGTATACACTTGTTGACCATGTTTGAGACTTTAAATCATCAATTTCTTTAGCAATGACACAACTTCTTTTGACAAAGATTTATCAAAAACATGGACTTGATCAAAAGCAACCATTGATCTTTAAAGGTGCATGCCTTCACCAAGAACTATATTTCTTTTCACTGAATGTACTAATTAAGTCATGAAACATCAGTCTCTAGTCCAGTCCCTATTTGGTGGGTGTTTTCCGCACCTCTGAAGGTGTGGGTTTTCTAGCCATATTTATTTACCTCGAATCCACCTAACCCTGATGGTGGGCATCACCGCTACTTTTGTTTTGTAGTATCATGTGACCCTGTGACCCTTGATTGGGATGCCCAGGCCAGTAGCGGAGCCTCCCCTCGCAGACCCGAATGCAAGTTTCGGGCATGACTCTCCTTACTAGGTTAGAAATTCAGGCAACCTCAGATATCACCCCTCCTTTATAGAACGTCAACTTCTCTGCCACTGACCCAATCAGTCTTTGATGGCCAGGGGGAGATATGTTTTGTTTATGGGGATTATGAGGTTTTGATGGATTTGAAGTGCAGAAATATGTTTAATAGCATTGAACCTCTAGGGGCTGTTTTTCTCATTCTACTTCAGACAAAACCTGTCAAAATAGCCATCAAAGGCTGGAATAGAGGCAGATGTTTCAGACTAGCAGTTGCCAAGCAATAAATATTCACAATATCAAGGGCTGTAACTCTGTAAATATTTGTCTGATGATGCTCAGATTCAGTCTCATCAAACTTCTGGGGACGTCATATTTGACAACAACTGTGGCCTTAAACATTTTACATGCCACTTGCCCCAGAATAATGGTATATAAAGGGCTGTAACTCTATCAACATATTGGCTCATGCTCAAATTTGAACTCAGCTCAGATCTGATGGATATAGAGAATAGACTTACACTCTAAATTTAATAAACATATGACAAAATCTATGGCCTCCACCTTAAATATTACATATCCTTGGAACACGTCTTTCAGCTTTCGAAAAGTTGTGCTACAGCTGACACTTAGTGTTGATACCCACAAAAACTTTCCTTAAACAAACAGCCTATTATCACAAAATCTTGTCTAAGTAACATGTAATATCTGCAGTTTTTACCACAAGTCCTCATTTCACGAAGCCACCAGAACAGCTTAGACTCCGCCCACTTATATACAGTTATTAATCACCACAACAACCATCAAAATAACCTCCCTTCAATTGTTCTGGATATTTTTTGTCTGCATTGCAATTACCCCATGTAAACCTCAATACCACTTTGTTAGATACATACGACTCATTAAAAATTAAATTTCATTTATGACACACACTTCGTCGCTTTGTTGTTTGTGGGTAAAACATTGTCGGTGATATCAAAAGGATTGGTCAATATTCAGCAGTCAATCATTCTCACGGATCTAAGAATTTGTTTAAAGCCTACATTCAAACCACCATCAAAATCCGGGATTCCAATCAATATATTGTGGTAACTCAAGCTCATTAAAACATTGTATAATGTCACCTTCTTTTACCATTACTGAGTTATCATTTAAACATATACCACACTCTTTATCAGCTTTTATTGTCTGAACCTCATCTTTAAAATATTTTAATGTTTGAATCTGACCTGTAAGTAGAAAATCATAAGCATAGAGTGGGAATCATTGTCCATGGGAGGTAACTCCAATTATCAATCGACGCAGAATAGTTTCGTTTGTTGTGTTTTTCAAAAAGTCAGAATTTATATAGAGATGTTGACCATGGGGCTCAACTTAGAGATTAATCTGCATTTACAGATGAGGCAGTGTATGAGAATTTCTACATCCACAAAGGTTTTAATTTTGCACTTTTCAGCAAATTCTAAAACTTTCAGACTAAGGACATTTCTCTAGATTTTAGTGTAGGGTTTTCTAAAAATTTGATCAAAAATTTTTTCAACCTCTGAAAAAACAAGAATGCCCCTTTAACTAAATACTGTACATGTTGAGTACAATGAGAAGGCACTATATGTTTGTACACGATGAAATTTTAGGGAACTAAATTGATCGGCAATATCCTTACCTCTATACACTTCTTCATCATCCCTAATCAATTTAACTGGTTTAACTTTCTCTATAGCTCCTGTAGTACATAAACATCCTGCAACTTTCACTTTCTTATGACCATCTTTAAATTGAAATACTTTCTTAACTGTAGCTTGACCTGTAAAATAGGATAATATGAACATTTATCCTTCAAATATAATACAATATATAATCAGGAAGTTGAAAGCAACCAATTTAGACCAATCATGATCAATATTTGCAGTTCTGTCATACTCCATAACAATACTGATCAGTATTTGCGGTTCTGTCATACTCCATAACAATCATGATCAGTATTTGCAATTCTGTCATACTCCATAACAATACTGATCAGTATTTGCAATTCTGTCATACTCCATAACAATCATGATCAGTATTTGTGGTTCTCTTGTACTCCCTACCAATCATGATCAGTATTTGTGGTTCTCTTGTACTCCACACCAATCATGATCAGTATTTTTGGTTCTGTGTACTCCATAACAATCATGATCAATATTTTTGGTTCTGTTTACTCCATAACAATCATGATCGGTATTTTTGGTTCTATGTACTTCATACCAATCAAGATCAGTATGTTTGGTTCTGTCATACTCCACATCAATCATGATCAGTATTTTTGGTTCTGTTTCATACCAATCATGATCAATATTTTTTGTTCTGTGTATGCCACACCAATCATGATCAGTATTTTTGGTTCTGTGTATTCCATGCCAATCAGTTGGCTTATATTGTGGATTCAGAACATTTATCATTAATGATAAGTAGTTATCAGTAAAACTTCTTTTGATATTAAAATGATAAACAAAAAATATAAACCTATAGTTTCTTCTTCTTTTATAACAGGTAATCTTTCATTGAGTCTTTCTAACAGATCATCAAATAACTTATAAATAACTTGATGGACTGATAAAGGCACTGATAACTGATTAGCTATATATTGTATGGCAGCTGGTACAGTAACATTGAAACCATACACAATTCCTGTAATATACATACACAATTCCTGTAATATACATACACAATTCCTGTAATATAGACACCATGTAAGTTTAACATTGTTTGAAGAACATTTCAAATGTAAATTTGAGGACTTTTAAAGATGGGTTTCCTTATTTCTTAGTGTAAAATTAAGCAAACTATTTGATTGATTGATTGATATCATATATTCTTAATCATATCATTATGTTCTTATTGCATATAATTAAGAGTTTTAACCAATCATAAATGTTCATGTACGTACAGTCTGGATAAACAAATCAGTCACTCATTGGAATTCTGCTGGTAATTCTCTTCTAATTTAGCTAATTATGAATTAATTATGGACATGTGAGACAAACTAGTATTTGTTTGACTATAAGTCATTAGAACACCTCTACTTTATATTTATATAAATATTAGCATAAGGGAACCCATCTTCAACGATAAAATTCAAGGCCTTTTCAATGGAAAATTCAAAGACTTTTTAAGGAAAAATTCGAGACTTTTTAAAGTTATAAATAACTTTTTGCACGAGTAAGAAAGGCCAGGCCATTTGCAAAACTAGTTAGTTTTATAGCCTTTTGAGGTGTCTGTGTTTTGCAAACCAAAAGATGTATCATTTTAATATAATACAGGATGGTTACCATACAAATTGTCTTGATTATGCGATCAATAAGTAAAGCGTTTTGGGTTACAAAGTCAAACATTTTCTAAACAGAATATTGTCAAAGATATTCTGCACATCTGAATGAAACATCAAAAGTATAATGTATAAACTAAGTTCTGAGGTAGCACAATCATCAGAAATTGATTTCAAGTTGCTATTATACTTTAGCCATATAATTTCTTATTTCTTAGTATTACCGGTAGTAACAGTTAATACAAATTAAAAGGAAAACCATACCATTAAAAGCATGGGCTCTCTCTACATCAAGTTCTGTAACATCTCCTACACCTTCATGTAAGATATTCAAACGACATTTAGTAGATTGGTATGTTTGTAATAAATCTAGTATTGTTTGTAAAGAACCATGAACATCACCTGAAATAAAAATATAGTTCACATTGACACTAACAGTAATACATCTATCTATCATATTTATCCATATTCATCTCTATAGCCACAGACTCATCTCTATAGCCGCATTTTCCACCATATAACCAGACTCAACTCTACAGTCACATACTCTACTCTATAGACACAGACTTCAACTCTATAGCCACAGACTTGATCTCTATAGCGAAGGATTTTATCAATATAGTACATTTTCCACTCTACAGCCACATACTCCACACTGTAGCCACATACTCTACTCTATAGCCACATACTCCACACTGTGGCCACATATTCTACTCTATAGCCACAAACTTCAACTCTATAGCCACAGACTTCATTACTGTAGCCACATGCTCTACTCTATAGCCACATACTCTGCACTGTAGCCACATGCTCTACTCTATAGCCACATACTCCACACTGTAGCCACATACTCTACTCTATAGACACGGATTCAACTCTTGCCACTATGATGGCCACAAAAGAACTGTATAAGACTTAGACATGCCAAAGAAATGAATTACCTTTTAAAACAAGTGAAAGTTCAGGTCCTTCATATGAATCTACCACAATCTCTCTCATAGTCTCATGATGTCTGGCCTTATTAAAACCTCTTGCTTTGATATCAGCAATGACAGCTCGATGTCTTATATCATGTTCCAATCTTTTCATATTTATAACAGGCTGTTCTTCATCCCCTTTTATATCTAGCTCTTTCTTCAGTCGATATTCCACAACTTCTTCAGCTTTTTTCTGAAAAATAACAGGTAGCCTGTTCCTATCACTATCATGTTGCCATAGAAACTAGAGTTGAGTTGTTGAGTTGAGTTGTACTTCAGTGATCACTTGGTGGTTTATACTAAAAATGGCCACTGGTTTACTTAAGAGATTTTAGGAACTTCTTCACTCTTAATACCAAAAGTTCACAGATATCTTATTCCTCAGTACCATCTTGTAAGGATCTTTGAAGTAGATATCTTTTCCAAGCTATCACCTCTGATAATGACATGCTTTCGAAAACAGAAAACCAGGATAAAAAAAATGAAAATATCATCTTAATCTATGTCCACCAGGACATCAAGCCACCATGGCTTTTGTAAACCAAATACAGAGACCCAAGAGGCTCTAATATTAAAACAAAGAGGTTTCCAGAGCAACCAATCAATTAGGTTTCAAAATTTTATTCAGAGATATATTGTCAAAATACCTTAGATTCCACTTGTAATATCTCATCTCCAGCAGACGGTAAATTTTTCCAACCACTTATCTCTACAGGTATTGATGGTGATACTTCCATCATCAGTTTACCACTTTCATCTAACATACTTCGTACCTACATAAAAATAAACAAAATTAACATAACTATTCTATTGTCATCCAGATACAGTCTAAACACCAGTCCATTATATTTCCAAGGGTATTGGACAATCTAAAATGAAAATTGTATACATGTGTAGTTTCACATGAGAGATTAAGATGGCTCTTACTTCAAAGAAAGCTATATAAGAGCATGATCGATGGGTCACACTAATACCTATCCTCCTCCCCATGTAATTGCATTGCATTGTTATAAAAGAGTTATGTATAGTTACTTACTTTTGCATATGTAGTCCCAGCAACGAGAAAACTTCCTTTCTTTAATGTACCTCGCTGTATTAATGCAGTGGCAACTTTCCTGAAATTTGTATTTATTGTATCTTAAAACAACAATAAAATAGCCATTTAATATCTACTCACAACCTGTTATACCCAATTGATTATCATTATATTATTTGGGCCTTTCATTCTATAGAAATCATACTAAATAAAGGAGTATGATAGAAACAATCTGATTGGCTAGTTCTGCTACAGATAATTTGTATATTAACCAATAGGAAACTTCTATTTATGATTTATAAATCCAGAAAGAATGCTTCATAAATCATAAATAGAAATTTCCTATTGGTTAATATACAAATTATCTGAAGCAAAACTAACCAATCAGATGGTGTCTATCATACTCCTTTATATAAGTATTATCAAGGGCGATCAGAATTAGTAAGCCATCAGTCTGGTTATCAAATGGTGAACAACTTCATGTCCAGTGATAAAAACTCAACACCTACCCTCTAACTGGTATTGTTTTTGACTCAATGACTCTACCTTCCACTAATCCAACAGGATCACATTTTAAATCTAATATCTCAGATAAGGCCACAATAGCTTCTTGTAATTGATCAACATTGGTTCCCTTAAACAGCAAATAAAACATTTCAAAGTAGAGCTGGGTGATATATACCAATATATACTGGTACAGGAATCATATTGTTAGTAATATCGTCTGATTAAAAACTACTGAAATATCAGCATATTGTGATATATGGTAGTTTACTAGTTATCATGATATATGGTCAAATTTTTATCCAGAGGATATCATCACAATTTTAACTTAATATTTGAAACAGATGTATCATGATATACTAATACTCAATATAATGATATCAACTTTATCCTATTTCAAAGCTCAATCCAGAAAGTCTAATAAAATACACATAAACTTGAGTTTTACATTCTACTGTTGTTTACCACATTTGCTTGAAATTTATTTTCATTAGAGCAATATAACACATATTTTATGGGCTACAAACAGGTTCCAATGTATCTTTTGAACCCACAGATCTGCATGAGAAACCCTTCTTATCATATTTGGTGTGTGAAAGTCTGAAAGAAAGGATCCTCAGTGACCCTAATAACCTTCTATGATAAACAGTTTGAAGGACCCAATAATTACCTTCAATGCTGATATAGGTACAACTTGTATATCACCACCAAATTCTTCTGTTACAATTTCTTGTTCTAATAACTTTTTCGTGGTTCTTTTCTGTAAATAAACACAAAATATAATGTAAGTGACAGACAATCATAATTTTTCTCCTCCAGATCACACCATCGCAAGTATTTTTACGCCCAATCATAAACGGATGCATGTAGTGAATTTTGAGAGCATACTCTGTACAAAATGACAGAAGCAACGTAATAAATAATCATGATGATGGTATTTACATGCCAAATAATCCACCGAAAAGATCAAACATTTTTCATGCAGGCAATTTGTCATTGACTTAGAAGAAAATAAGATTGTGTTAGACTCAAAAAAAAGATCATCATTCTACATTGTTTAAAACCTACCAAATCAAAATCATGTTTATCCATTTTATTTACAGCAACAATAATGGGAACTGAAAAGGCAAAATAAGAAAATATATCAGAGCCATTCAAACAAATATTGTAACTAGATATAACCTTCACATTCGTGAACATTGCTTTAACCCTGTGCCAGTGCCTTCTGTTGGATAGTAAATTGTTACCTTTCAACCACCCTAATCTTTCATATCTACTTGACATATACTAAAAAAAAAAGGTATTCAAATTTCATCTTAATGATTTCATCTAGATGATTATAATCTGAAAGAGTATCTGTCAAATGACCAACCTACCTCCAGCACTTCGAGCATGATTAATAGATTCTACAGTTTGCTCCATAACTCCATCATCACCAGCTACCACTAATACAATAATATCTGTAACTTCAGCACCACGAGCTCTCATTGCACTAAATGCAGCATGACCAGGTGTGTCTAAGAAGGTAATCTGCTCTCCAGATTCCAATTTCACTGTAAAAACAAAACCAGATAGTTTGATGGACATGATAACATATGACAGGCGATAAAAATCATAATAGCCAAAGAATAAAACTATAAGACACAGATGTGCCTATTGTAGAACTTCAATAAATCTGCTTGTGCATTCCAAGTTCAAATAAATAAACAAAGGGGTCCATGTAAATCACTCACAATCGAAGGGAGATAGAGGGGCATTAAAATTTGGGCATATAAAAACTGAAGTGTCTACCTCTCCTTCAAGGTGATTTAATAATTGAAGACAGTCATATAACACATACCATAAGCTGTCTAAGAATATTTTACTAGTTTAAATAACAGAAATCTATTCCTTTTTAACTTCAGATCAAGTTACCATACAAGTATCTTGACAAAGTCAGTTAAAGTAACTATATAAAGAATTTCATAGAAATTACCAGAAAAAGCACCAATATGTTGAGTGATACCACCAAATTCTTGATCCACAACATTGGATTTCCTTAGATAATCTAATAGAGTTGTCTTCCCATGGTCAACATGTCCCATGATAGTAACTACTGGTGATTTTTTGACAAGATTTTTAGGATCTGGTGGAGGTCTGTAACAATATACTTATAATATTATACACACAGCTTTATGGAACAACAATCAACAACAATGTTACTTTGACTAGTCCCCCCTGACGTCCTCAGTTACAAAACAATTTGCCTATTAAACTGTATTTACCTATCACTTATTATAATATGTGCAAGAGAACAACGAGGGGAAACACGTCAAAACGTTGCTTAAACTTTAACCAGTGATTGTCGTTCCTTAAACTGTATCTATATATCATACTAACAATTGCTAAATTCTATTTTAAGACAATATAACATCGCCTCATTTAAAGGGATTAGGACAAGGTTTTCTAAATTTTGTATGTGTATCAGGGACACCGATCTTCAATTCCACTGAAACCAAGTGGTTGATGACGTCACTTATCGCAAAGGGCCTTATGTGATAAAGCATATTTTTTAAAAAATGGATAGTGCAAATTGATCATACTAGTGTAAATTGATCATACCAGTGTCCCAGATATACATTAATAATTTACTATCTCTTTATATCAGATATATACCAATATCATGTTATATTAATGATAAACATTTCTAAACCTTTCATGTAGGAAAATTAACATTTCTGTCTCTTCATTTGGTTGGACTTAAAAGTTGCTTAATTCAAATGTAATATTATCAGATTATAATGATTATGAAGAAACTCACTGTTTTTTAATATCAGTTAACTTGGTTTTCTGGACGATTTTCTTGTTAGGAGGATTTATAACATCAAATTTAAATCCTACCAATTTAACAGCTTTCTTTATGATTTTTATATCATCTATCACTGAAGAAAGAAAAAAAATAATTGGCAATTTTCTTGAACTTGAAAATGAAAATGAAATTTCTAGTTTGAGGTACATTTAAGAAATTATGTAATTTTCATTCTTCTGAAGACTACTTACATATATTCAAGACTCAAATCAACACCGGCAAATACTGCTTTTTAAAATAACACTCGCATAAAGAGTCTACTTGTAAGTATATACGTATATATATATACTAGAATCAAGATGCACGAAAATCACTTACCTGAATTCCAATTCAAGTATTTATCAGCATTATCAATTTCCATCATCATTATTAACATTTCCTCTAAAATTAACAAAAACTTAATTTATAAAAAGAAAATAGAGCCATATACTGTACTCATGTTATTATTTCATGCCTTTGAAGTTATCACTCGATCTTAAAGAGGTTGTAAAGAGGTTTTCTAAACTTTGTATATGATTCAGGGACATTGATAGCATTGTTTTCCATTTTCTGTCTGATGTTTTTGGTTCCTGAATTTATAGAAATACTTATCAGTAAATAATGACATGGTTACAAAAGTTGCTGATAACACCTCAAAGCCTTTGCAATAGTTATGCCATTTTAGTGGAATTGCAGGAACCACACGTGGGATTGAAATTTGGAAGGGTGCAAATTGATGCTATCAGTGTCCTTGATACATATAAGATTTAAGCATTTTTGGTATTAATAAAGGATCCAGATTGTGTAAACTGCCATCATATATTAACTATGTGCTGTGCTATAGGCTATTAAAAATATTACGACAAAAAATATCTGTAATAGTTTGTATGACTACTATTCTACTATGTGAGGTTTTATAGCACAGTCGGTTAGAGTGGTGGTCTTTTGCATGATGTCATTAGCTTGATTATGTCGAACAAACAGTGTCTTTGGGTTCCCATTTCAATAGACATGTAAGTCCAATGAGCTTAAATAAGTCATCTTCACTCCAGTCAACATAGCTGTCAATGGGTAGGCCTAAGGACAATACGGAAAAGATCAATGCCAAGAGGATTGACTAAGGACCAGCTGGTAGACAGAATCCTTTATTGTGAAAATAGGTTGTTATCCTCGTATAACATAGTTGCTAATTTGTTTGTTTCTTTCTTTTGGCTATAATATATATATCAGGAAATGTCAACAAAATTAAATGAACACAAATTGAAAGTTTAAGTCTCAGATTCAAAGTCTGTATTCGCAGAAGAATTGCTAATATATTGTGATCTACAGTACCTTGATTTTTCTTCAATACCCTGCCAAGCTCTTCTACCATCATATTTTGATATATATTAACAACAGGTATTTCTACTTTTGGTTTCATGGGTTTTGTGTACGCTTTCAATGGCTGTAAAATAATGTATAGACTAAAATTTATACAGTAATGTCTCACATTGATATTTTCAGAGAAAGTATATTTCAAATACCGGTACTGCTACATTTTTTTAAAAATTTGAAAACTAAGCATATTTAACATAATCAGAATTTGAAATTTGAAAATTTTTCTGGCCACTCACAGACAACACAATAATGAAAAAGTGTCCCTGAGGGACATAAAATAACATATGTCAACATCCAATATCAATATAAACTAAATCTTCGTAGGCTTACCGGGAATTTTCTCAAGTTATATTTACATCTAATAGAAGTTGTTGAAAACTGTCTGTTACATTCTTGACTATGGTGGATCAATGTATTTTGATGCATGGATTGACTGTTAACGAAACCATAAGGGAGCTGACTACATACTGATATACATTGCTGTCGGAATTTCCACAATTTAGTCAATGCCAATGAGAGTTTTGAATTCATATTTCAAATATGTTATTGTTATCAATCAGCAGTCAACTATATAATTATTAAATGAAGAAAGTTTTTCATTTTAGTTCACAAAGAAAAAAAAGTTGTGAACCCTGAAAAAAGAGATAAAACATCATTAAGTTTGCAGTAAGAAAAGGAATATACCAGAACTGTGTTATAGAAATAATGGGTTAAAATGGAAATGTTCTGAAAATAAAGGTGTCAAATGTTTCACCTGTGGTTGTGGATTATATCAATATTTTTCTAACCTCAGCCCTCAAGAGGATTCTTCCAAGACACAATTTTGCCTAGCTGACAACAATCCAACACTGTCATTAGCATTGCAGGGACTACAATAGCATAAATGTGTTGAGTAGGTAACTCGAAACAACTTCGGCTACTGACGACAGACCGTTAACATTTTTATACATCAATTTAATAGATTGATAATGATTGAGAAATAGGCCTATTTGTCTTATATGCTATCATTCTGTAATAATTAAACAAAAAGGTTTTCAATTAAAATGCGTTGAAATGGGGAGGAGAAGGGTTATCGATCCAAATTAATACAGCTTATGTTGAAATTCACTGTTTCATAGAATCATACCTTGGAACTTAGGCATACAGGTTTTCACAATTGTTTCTTCAAGACCCGTGGTCTTGTAGAACTACCTAGGTTTTGAAGGGCGCTGACATATTGGTTTCGTACAAAGAACTAATTTGCAAAGTCAGAATATGAAACGAAAATATTTCAAGGAAAACCTGATTGCGCTGGCTGGAATCTATTTTTTGAAACAAATTATTCCATCTGAGCAATGGTCTTGGCAATGTTTATGTCTCTAATTGAATGGATAAATTTTGTCAAGGCTGTCAAGGGATCGTAGCCATCCCTAGCCTGATTGTTTGGAGGGGCACAGCATGGAGGGGCAATGATGTTTAGTTGCAGTAATGGAATTGGTCGGTTGTAAGAATTTTTTCTTTCCCTCCTGTAGCTGAGGGCCTGCTGGTCAGGGACCATAACAGTGGTATTGTCCCTTTTTCAAGATCAACCCATAGAACTATAATATTACAGTTGTATGATCAACCCCTTCTATATGCTGATATTCTTTTCACTATTCACCTTAAATGATTTTATCTCAGTGGTTTCCTTATCAATAATGTAGAAAAGAAACAAATTATATATATATGATATAATCGATTGAAGGGTTTTGGGATTGTTGCCACCAAATGCGTCAAATTTAGATGGAAGACACGGTACAGACTATCCTACAGCTGATGTTATCTGATCTTGATGAAATTTGGTATGCCCCTATATGCATGTATATATTGATGAAGTCTCGGTCAAGTCCGAAGTTGGTAACAATCGGATGAATGGTTTCAGAGTTATTGCCCTTAACTTAATAAAAATTCGTCAAATTTGTTATGTAGACATGATACAGACTACAATTGTTATCTGATCTTGATGAAACTTGGTAGGGGTGTATCATAATATTATAGTAAATAGATGATATAAGGAATTGCGCGTAATTAATGAAATTTAACAATAACCTGTACCTAGATATATGGACGCGCTCCTAAAAGAAATGTGTCTAAATTAAAAATGATTATGCCCAAATTGACTGCATAAATTATCAGTAGACTAGCTCGCTACAAAATCAAACTCCAACGTCCGGAAAAACCAACAAAACAATGATACAAATAGTAAAACTGACGACCTATGATTATGAAAAATAAGAAAAATCAATATATATTTTAAAGTTAGGAAAACTTGTTTGCCTGCTTCTAACAGGAAAGAGGGTGGTGGACAATTATTTGGAAAGGGGGCGAAACCAGGCCACCCCCCCCCCCCCCCCCCCTAAACACACACTCCCACTTTCAAAAAAATAAAATGAATGGAGTTTTACGTCCTACTTTTCTGCACCATGCATGGGTTAATGAAGACGGGCAACGTCATGCAGGGTGCAATGAGGGAAATATTACCAGGACAACGGCATTAACCTACTCTTTTTCGATTTCCAACTGTCGAAAAATCCGAAGGTAGGCCTATCATCTCGGAGAACCCTAGCTGGACCTTCAGGTTAGCGAGCAAGCGTCTAACACACACACTCTCAGATTTCTTATTATTTTACAAAAAAACACATAATTGTTAACGATCAATTCCAATTCGAATTTCGAAAACATGGGTGTTTGGGCAAAGTTGGGCCATCGCCACTGCAATGTTCGAAAAAAAAGAAGGTGTAGATTGTTTATTGTGCGTAAAAGTGGAATGAGCCAAGTCCACTCCTTACTTCAATATATCAGATACAGCCGACAGAACTATTTCAATCCCTTGAAAATCAAACTGAGTTCACGATTTGCCAATAAATAAATAGCTGCGATGGAAATATATTCGTTCAGTGTTGTATGAGCTATCATAATGTGCGCGTGATATGAAAGTATTGTAAAACTGTAGAGAGTATTATATTGCTAGTGATGGCGTTTAAACCTGGATATCTTTACAAATATGGGTCTTTCACGATTTAAAAGTTTTAATACATGTGTAGAATATATTTGGATAATGGTTGTGATTTTTTAAATAGTATATATTTTGTTATTGGAATTAAAAACTAAGATAAAGAAATTATGTATCGGCCGAAATGTCAACAAATTTACGACGCTCACTTCCGGGATTATCAAAATAATAATACGCATGCGTTGAAAGGATTAAAGAAAATGGCGGATAAGCCGTCAAAAAATTCCGGATCGGGGATAAAACCCGTTCCTATGAAATTATTTGCAACCTGGGAGGTTGAAAAAAGTTCCCCAAGCTGCATTCCCAGGTAGGTTATTGTGCTTGTTATGTTTTCATATGCGCACGCACCAAATTAATGCGTTGATTCACCAAATAAACAAATGTTTTTGTGATGTCTCGACACTTTCTCGATCATCAAGACGCAATTTTCTTTTGAAGACACAGTATTTTCCGTCAATCAATGACAGATGCTTACGATATGAACATTATCATTGATAAATTGCTTTTTCGAAATTATTGTGGTCCATTTCAGTGTGCTTTGGACAATTTTCTATGCCTACTATATTTGTTGCCCACTGTCAATGCTGATATTTGATAACTAATAATATTTTTGATAGTTAATATGGTCATTGTCATCCTGTTTCACTTAGACATAATTTGAATATGAGTATGATAATAGGCCTGATGTCATGGTTTACTATGTCACATTAAAATATCAACTCATTGTCATCTCATTGACCTATGCTTTGTTGGATTAATAATTATAAGGGTAGCACAGTTGCTAATTTCACTAAAAGTTGTATGCGCCATTTGGGGCTTGGGGGTGATTTGGGTCTTGAATAAGCCCAGCTTATATATGTAAATAATCTTCTGAAGTTCTGTACTAGAAATGCATGAAAGTCTCATGATTCCTTCAAAAAATATCTCAAACTAGGAATTTCTTTTCCTTTTTCTATGCAGTAGATGTGTTTTCTATTTATGGCAGTCTCTAGAAAAGGCAGTTTGTCTATTTAACTTGGACACACATGTATTTGAAGGCTCAAGTTAAGTTGAATTAATGTCAGATAGGCTTGATATTTTCATCAAATTAGCAATTTTGAAGGCTCGTCATTTAGTAACCTTTTGAATCTCATACCAACATAATAGGTTGATAAGCCTGTGATATTAGCAGTTCACTTATCTTTTGTCAGATGAATTGTAGTTATAGTAAGCCTACATGTACTGTCATTTAACATCCCCATTCATGGAACTCTATTATTTACAGGTTGTGTAGTTTAACATTAAATAGATTGGTTGTGAACAAAGCTCTAGAAAATGATCTGGCTTCAGTCATCATTGCTGTTAAAATGCAGGTAAGGTTAATATCATTGAATCTGTATTAATTGTGAACTAAGCTGAAAAAGCAACTAAAGCCATTCTTTAACTTAACAGGCAAAAAAAAAATGATGATGTGTTTTTTTCCATCCGCGAACTGTGCTCATTTGAAATGCTAATATTTTTTATTGTAATAAAGAATTGATATGGCCCAAATCATACCCTCTAGTCTAAGTCACCCTGTTTTACAATCTAAAGGATGATGATTTATACCAAATTATTTTCTTCAATGATTTTTATCATCTTTTGGACTCTAAGAAATGTTGTTTTGATAGATACATGTGTAAGCTTACAATCTTGTGATTTTATGTTTTTATATAAAGTCATTTGATATTATAAGTAATAAATTATTGTTTATTTTTTTCAGAATTCTAAGAGAGTATTGCGATCAAATGAAATTATTGTTCCACCAGGAGGTTCGTTAGACACAGAATTAGATTTATCTTTTTCTCTACAGGTAAACTATTAAGCTTATTAAATATTTAAAGTTGAAAAGACACTTTTGTATTGATCTATACCACACTAGACAACATCATGCAGTGCTCAATGAGGACAGTTTTGTGAAGAGCTTGGCCCTTTTAGAAGAGTCCCTAATACTTTTCTGATAGAAATGTCAGAGATTAAAGCACATATTGGGTAGTTGAGATTTGTGTGCAGGGTTCGCACAGCCGTAAAAAACCCTTGAATTCCGTCCGTTGCCTTGAAAAACCTTGATTTCAAAAAAAGTCTTTGAAAACACCATAAAAAACCATTTTCTCTTGAAAAGTCCTTGAATTTTGAGTTGAATCAGAATTTTGTATATTTTTATCATTAACCCCATTGACAAATATTAACTATCTTTATTGATTTCACAGTTCAGAAGTTAGGTACATGTGTATTCTGTTAGACTGATATCCTTGAAAAGTCCTTGAATTTCAAAGCCCAGAGTCCTTGAAGAGTCTTTGAATTTTTGAGGCAAAGTGCTGTATGAACCTTGTGTGTGTATAAGATCATATATGAAAGCTAATTATGAAGAAAGGGCATGGAGAGAAACATTTCTGAAGCATCTGTCACACATAAATGTCAAATGCAGAATAAACAACACATTTTAATCAGAAAGCAACATTCTGTTATGTTTTAGTAAATGTGTGAGATGAATTTTAAGCCTTTAATGAGCTTAATTTTCATGTCAAGAATGGCCCTCCCCCTTAATATGCTACTGAATGTAACAATTTTTTCTGTTCTTATTTTTTTCAGTATCCACATTTTTTCAAAAGAGATGTGAATAAATTGCAGATTATGTTACAAAGACGTAAAAAATATAAAAATCGGACCATACTAGGATTTAAAACATTAGCTCTAGGACAAGTGAATATGTCACAGGTAAGCTCAGTTTCTTTTCAACATTAAAGGTGGTGTGATTGTTATAAAAGAACGCCATTTTCAGCGGTCAATTTTACCTTGGTGAATTGTTCAGTGTGCTAATGGGTCATTCCATGTCAAATCACCCAATGAGGTAAACCGTACCCCCTTTGATTTTGATATGCTTATTTGGGCTGAAAAAGCTGATATTCAACATTTTAGCTTCATCGGACAAATGGTTCCTGAGGTATGGCCCACTCAATTTGGGGGATTTTGGCCATAATGGGCGTGACCACCATTATTCAAATGACCATAGCTCAGTAACCGATAGGTCAAAATTGCTGAAATAAGTGTTTCTAGAAAGGGAATTGGACAGGGATTCCAAATCTGTCCTTTTTTTTGGACATAGGAGTGTTTTAACGATTGATGACCTTGGATATGCACTTTGACCTCGAATTTGACTTTGTAGCCCTCGTGACCTTGAGATGACTCATAAAAAATTTGGAGGTATAATATCGTAACTAAGCCTGGAAAATCAAGTTGAATATCCACAGATGAGGCTTAAAATCAGTGTCTTTGCATGTAAAGCTGTATTATGTTCATGGATAGGTTCTGGGGATACATAGTAACCTGCTGCAGACTTACTTAAAAATAGCAAACTGTGATTCAAATAGTCATCCTCTTTGAATCAGTCTGATCATATACTTATTAGGTTTTAATGAAGGTTTTCAAACTATATCGTCATCAGTGGGTACGGTTTACTTTTTACTTTATTTTGGGTGATTTGAATGGAATGGAATGGAATGGAATGACCCTAATCAGTTATAGTACTCATAGTTTACCATCATGAAGTATATCATTTTCATTTTTATAATTAATGGATTTTTGTCAGGTAGTCAAGTGTAACTGATTAGTATTTATAATGTAAAAAATACTTAACACAGCATCATACTGATTTGCACCATTCCAATTTGCGTCTGATATCTGTGGTTGTTGGTTTCAAATACACATAGAAAGTGAAGAATTTACAATACCTTTAAGGGTCATTGCAAAAAGGCCAAAGGGTCAGTGTCCTATAAATGTGGTAATAACTTACAGCTGACTTACTTTAACCTGTATAATAATGAACTGACATGTAGGTAATTCCAGGCTTTTCTTTTCCTCATTAATGAAAAAAACATAGAAAGAAATTCAATATGTTTCATTGTTATTAATGAGATCAGGGCTAGCACATTTATGAGATTTTTTATGTTGGATGGAATGCTTATTTTTTGGTAGACTGCTCCATTTGTTATTCATGATTTGAGGAAATTGTTATGTATTGAATTTTTTCTTGGTCACTAAAATATCCAGCCAATCAAATGATGTGTTCAATAGAACATTTCTTTATAAGACCCACATAAAATTGTGATTGATCACTCAGGAAAGGCTCATCAAAATCAGAAAATTTCTGAAAAAAAAGTATGACTAAAGGTTGAATAAGCTTATTCTATACAGATAATGCCAAATGATCTAATCTAAACAAAGGTGCCCATTGACACATGTTACATTGCTTGGAAAGCCATCTTTTGATATTATGAATTGAACCGTATGCATCAATAAACATGAAACAATTAACACATACTGATCACAGTAATGAATATTTATATTATTATACTATGATACAAATATAACCTGAGGAATTACAGATTAAGAAAATGCTTTTGATTAAGAATCTAGAAGATTTCTTAATCGGAATATTTGATTAATTACTTGATTTTTGGTTGCCTTTTTTGATTATCTATAGTACTTAATAGAAATTACCCATCCCTACTTGAAGAAATAAAGAGTTATTATGAAGACAAAATTTAACCTGTACCACTGTGGCAATAATTTATTACCACTATGGTAATGATAAGAGAAATAAAGAGTTATTATGAAGAAAATAAATAATAAGAGATATAAAGATTTATTATTATGAAGACAATAAATGTAACTTGTATCACTGTGGTAATAATAAAAGAAATAGGAGTTATTATAAGACAATAAATTTAACTTGTATCACTGTGGTATTATAATAAGAGAAATAAAGAGTTTTATAAAGACAATAACTATAACTTTTATCACTGTGGTAATAATAAAAGAAATAAGAGTTATTATAAGACAATAAATTTAACTTGTATCACTGTGGTATTATATTAAGAGAAATAAAGAGTTATTATAAAGACAATAACTATAACTTGTATCACTGTGGTAATAATAAGAGAAATAAAGAGTTATTAAAAAGTTAATAAATGTAACTTGTATCACTGTGGTATATTACCCAATACTAAGACTAATAATAATCATTTTAACATCTAGATCTTTTATAGAAAACAGATGTACCAAACAAAACACAACTCATCTTTTCATTTCCATTTATCTCAATCTTGTTTAGTTTTTGTCTGTTTCCTACAGATGTGAACTAATAAGCTTATAACTTCTATTCAGATCTGATTTCAAATTTGGATAAAAAATATTCTGTTTCAATGACTTAATTTTCTTGTTTTTTCAAGAAGCTTTGTTGACTTGGCCTTAATTGCCAGATATGTTTTCCAGTAGATACAATAAATTCCTAATTCATCTCGAAGAACTGATAGAGAAAAAGTTTTTATTAATTAAAAGCTGTGTGGCGACTCTTTATGTTTACATGAAAGGTCCCTCAACATTAGAAAACTGGTTACAGATTAAAAAACTCCATTTCATTTTAATCTCTTTTAAAACTTCATTGAAATACTAGATCTTATGTTAAGTTGTATAAAATCAACAAAGATAAAAATATAGGTTAGATTATAATATTATATCATTGTCTATGTGCTACCAGTACAGTGAAATATTACAATATCAATACAGCTCAGTAAACTTCTAATAACATAGACTCTTTTATTACCTGTAAAATAATTATTTTCATATCAATAATAATATAATATAGTAAATGATGTACTTGATGACTCTAGTCAATACTAGTTGATTATTATTAGATTGTATGAAATACCCAATTTTTATGCCTTGTGGCTGAACATAGATCATTGAGAATCACAAACCAGTTTAAGAAAAAAGTTCAAATTGGAGGCCTGTTTTCACTAATCATTTTGCTTTATATGCACCTGTAGTTATTAGACGCAATTGCTTATGTTCCAAATATGATGAATGATGCTATCATCTCACAAATGCTTGTAAGAATGTTGATAATGGCCTTTTAAGTATGACAGTATGCTGATTTTTTATTCTGAATAGTATTATAATAACTGTCATTGAGGTAATCAGCTGGTATAGCAAATATTAAAGACACAGGTTTGCCATTTTCAGGTTTTGATTTGGGTCTTGATTATCATAGGTAAATAACCTTCAGAAGTACTAGAAATGTATGAAAATCACAAAATTCTTCAAAAATATCTCGAACTAGGAATTTAAAACCTTCTATCTCTTTCTATATGTATTTTCTAAATAAGGCATAGTCTCAAGAAAGGACATGTTGTATTTCTTACTTTCAAATAGATAATTCTGTACACACATGGATTTGAAGGCCCAAATTTGAGACTAAGGTACAATGCTTCAGTCTCATTGACTTAAATTTTGGAATAAACATCTTGCATTTAAATGAATGAAATAACTGCCTTAAAACCTGTACTAAAATGTATCCTATTTGATACTAGTTTTTATTAGCGGTAACTGTGTATTTTATCTTCAGGTATAAACTTCCCTATAGTCAACTAATGAGATCTGTCTTACTCTGAGTCATTTACTAGTAGGATTGTACTCTGATTCATTCATTCATTCAATTATTCATTCATCTACTGAGTTACACCTGGTTTCACTGTAACATCTTGACATTTCTATGATATATCTATAAAACATTCATCCATTCATTCATTCATTCATAATTTCTAGATATCAATTTTTTCATTTTATGATATCGGAAGTCAAAAAGATATATTGAGCCAGGTGTAAATTCATTTATTCAGCCAATAAAACATTAGTTCATTCATTGATTGGAAGGAAAAATAAAATTTCATGTTTTGCTCATTCACAATTTTCTATAAAATTCATGGGAAATTGCCAACAAAACTGATTTTCTTTAGTTTAATAGAAAATCTAACCTCAAGTAATTTTACATTACCATCTCTCTGCTAGTGGAAATTAGTTTGTCTTTTAAAAGACCAGAACAACAAAGATAAAAAGATTGATCTTATTTTGAAAAGTTTTAAATGTCTAAAACTACTAAACAAATTAGTAAGCCTAAATTATTTTATCTGGTGACTGTTTATAACAGTTTTTGTTTAAAGGATGGTCACAGATGAATTTTGCAATAAAGTTATTGTTGACTCTTAATCCATAATTTATAGAGTAGCCATGTTTTTCAGCTAAATACAGACTACTATAAATGGTTATTATAACGATGAACATATTTTCATGTCAGAATTCTTCTGGTGATATCTCAACAGTCTAAATTGCAAAATGCTTAAAAATGGGGTCCCTTAATTTCATTCATGATTCACCGATAGATTGTGCCAGCACTACTTTCCACCAAGTTGTAGGTCATGTAATATGAATTGATTCTTAATCTGGATATTAAACAAAAGATTTAAAACACAAAACAAATGGCCTATAATTGAGCTATGGATTTCTTCTTAAATGCTTGGCAATTTATTCTCCATGCTGATATAAACCAGTGTTCAAGGCAATAAACTTTTCATCAATAACTGATATCTTGCAGAGCTTTATACAAACTTTACTATGAAGAAAGCATGAAAATAAATCAGTCATTTTACAGATTTGAACATGATAATGTTTGCTTATTGTCTGAGCAAAGTAAAAAGTTGTAAAAATTGTTCTCATTATTTTTTGAAGAATTGAATAGCTGGCTCAAAATAGTACTGTTAGTCTTACAATATCTTTACGTTGATAAAAATATAAGCATAAGCACACACTATAACTTCAAAATTTGTTTTTATAGAGGACAATTTTCAGGTTGACTTTTTTGGGTTGAAATTTCTAGAAGAGAAGTATGTTTCTTTTCAATGTAGACTTACAATAAATTATATTTTTATCAACGCAAAGACATTGTAAGAATAACAGTACTATTTTGAAGCTGATATTCCAATTTTCTTATAAAATATTGAAAAAAATCAAAAAAACTTTTTTATTAGCACAGACAATAGTTAAGCTCAATAGAAGGTGGCTGTGAGTTCTAATCGTGGTTGGTGAAGTTACCCCAAATAACAGCTGGTAGTAAAACAAGATCCTTTTGAACCAAAATTGTTACCTTATAAAAATGGTTTTTATTTTCTCTCTTTCTACCTGTCTATTAAAAATGCTTAGACTGAACAGTTGTCACTTTTGGTATATAAACAAATTTAAATTGATATTTAGACTAAGTTAACAGTGTATGGAAATTGAGAGTATTGTACTGTTTGGACTAAACATTATTAAATATTCATGCTATCAATTCCAGCTGAATAAATTTAATATTCAACTTAACTGAAATTTCTAAGTTGTTCTAACATTTCAAATATTCAAATACACCAATAATTTATTTGGTTTATTTCTGCAGTGTGTATTTGATAATGTCAGGTTTTGTAGTACAAGTTGAAAAGAGTACATAATATGTGTTACATGCACTAAGAGCTGCTCCAACAGTGATGTGGTTTTCTATAAGGGTTCGTTACAGAGCAGGGCAGCGCAAAGACGAGCGTATCAGAGCAGCACCGTCAGTTGTTCACACTTAAGCAGAGCAGGGCATCGAAATCGATCATTCACCATGAAGCCAAATCTCCACAGTGTGTCTTTCAGTTATACTCTACACCACTCTGCGGCATTCTGCTTGCATTGTAATTAGCTCCATGTCTCCCTGCTACTAAAGCTCTGAGTTTTTGGATAATCAAAAGCCTCGCAATATTAAAAACCTATATTGGTTAGTTACTATATTAAACAAGAAGAAATTTGTTGAAGTTGAGGACTGTTGGACTGTATGAATAACTGATTTCTTAAGAGATTGTAACCAGGATTATCTTATATTTTTATGGTTATAGGGTACACTGATAGCATCAATTTGCACCATTCCAATTTTCAGAAAGTACGTCTGAGGTTCCTAGAATTTGACATAAAAATAGCGTTTTATGGTGTTTTATGACGTCGCTAATCGCATAATATGCTTTATCACATAAGGACTTTCCTGACTAGTGTCGTCATTAATCCCTTAGTTTCAGTGGACTGAACCACAGACATCTGATTGAATATTGTAGCTATTAGTGTCCAGATAGACATCAAAACTTTTTTACAATCCCTTTAAGCAAAATAGGTATATGAATCCAATTCTGCCTTATTTCCTGGTTTGGTATTAGTTATATTGAGATATCATATTATCAAGTGTGTAATATTACCTTGTAAAAGGGCAATATAATATTGTGTAATATAACCTTGTTTCTAGTAATGTTATATATTTTTAATGATTACTACAAATGTTATATCTGATGTAAGCTTTAGCAGCTTGACCTTGTATAACTTTTTATTTTTACATTAATTATTTTGTTGTTGTGAAGAAAAGGGACACTGGATACTAGGACTACTTGCCAAATTAATCCCTACTAGTTTCAAGTTGATTTTAAAATCTCTACAAAATAATGGAACAAATTAATATCAAGATTAAGCGTTTTTCAATAATGACTTAGTTTTATGAATTTTCCAGATTTCACATGGAATCTGTTGTAACTTTATGATACAAGGTAAGTTGACTGATGAATATATACTCATATTGACCATTCTTGAGAACTTAAACTTTATGTTCATTCTAAGACGTAGTATCACTTTAATGAAATAAATTTTTCTGAAAATTGGCAAATGGCTAAACATTGTAGACGTAAAATATCATAGCATTGCCCAATTCTGTTAATTTCATTTGGACTCTATGTTAGTTAGATTGTTGTTACTGACATTATTTTAAAAACATTTGAAATTTGTCTGGTATCTGCAAAAGTGATTTTCTAATTCTAGCAGAAAATTTCACATTGATTTTTTAACTCAGTTCTGATTGAAATATTCAGTTATAAAGATTGATTTAAAGGAATTTTGACATCAAAGATAAGCCAGTGTGGATGTTTACATACATTAAGCCTTCAACCTGTTCTCAGTGGTTCATATATTTTATGTTTGCCAAAATCAATAGGAAGTCAGCTGTTAGTAGAAATCTTTACTCTACATTCCAAACATTTTCTATAGTTTAAACTTAGTCCAAAACTCTATCCTTCATATAATAGTTATACTCTACGGGTATATTCTCACACAACTTTCTGGCCATCATTGTTTAAACCATACCCTTTTCAATAAATAGATGAGACTATGGTTCACTTAATACAAATAGTTTTGTATGAGTTAAAGTTTAGACAATAAAAATGACCATATTTATACAAGAGGGGTTGTCTGTCTAAGGACATTCTTGATTCCATGGGATTTCAACAGTGACAATATATCCCACTGTACAATATTAGATGCTTTCTTTACGCTAATATCACACTTAAGGTGACCATAACATGCTCTGGCTACATGGCAGTGGCAGCTCAGTTAAGACACCTATTTGGTGTGACATGGCACTTGGATAATAATCTGCAAGTTTTAGACTTGATATACTTACTCTTCTAAACACCTGATATCACTTTTCATTATGAAATATTTACTGAATTATTATTGATATACTCCTCATGTGAAAAGTTCATTTAAAAAAAAAAAAGGTTCATTAGCTGCTACCAGTGTTCATCAAAATGTTGTTTTGCTGTTCTGATCGTTAGTACATGGTTTATCATTAAGGTTTCAAAAGTTCCACTTTCTTTAACTCTATAGAATATAGACATCAACTTTGTTTTTTAAGATGTTCTAAATGTATATTGTTCTTAATGATAACATATAAACAAAGTAAGATTTATTATTAAGTGTAAGAAACAGATGGTCTAATAGAAGATGTTATTAGTACTATTTCAAGGTTTTTATCTCATAAACAACCGTCTTTATTTCAAACTGATCAATAATATAATCTGAGAAACCAGGAACTCTAGGTATGCTGAGAATTAAATTAACTTTATAGCACCATAGCCTGGAAGCAAATTTAGCTAGGTGGTGGTCACCTTCAAATGGACAGTTGGGGGGAGTTATTTAGTAGTTAAGAACATATGTAAATAGTTAGAAGTACTAGAAATGTTCAAAATGTTTAAAAATTGCCTAATTCCATTTAAAATATCTCAAACTAGGAATTTCACAAATTCCACAATTAGTTTCAGAGTGAGTGCTCAAAACTACATATCCCATAATTCAGTATGACAAATGAATCAGGATGAAAATTGGCTTTGGTGCAAATTGATGCTCTCAGTGTCCCCGATATGAAATTTACAAGACCTCTTTACAGTCCCTTTAAATCAAGAAATGGCGTACATTGTCTGTATGAGGTGATATTAATAGTTTTAATACTGCTGATTCTTGGTTTTCAGAAAATCCACAGATTGTAAAAGAATTTCATGACATAAGTCTCTAAAAGAACTCATGTCTTCTTAATTTTGTCCATGACCATTTATTTGATATGTGAATTAAGGTAGTTATCTAATAAAGCTATTGATATAATAATTTCAGATTAAGATGTTATATTTTGTGTGTTTCAGGTATTACAGAGAAGTGTAGATAGAGAATTAAAGTTATATAGTGATATTAAAGAAAGAACTAATGCTGTAGCTCATGTATCAGTATTATTATTAACTAGTCAACCTGTAGATCATGAAGATAATGGTCATCGTAAACAGAATTCTTCTGATGTTGGTGAGTTGTTTTTGTTTTTTATCAAATTTTATATTAGACAGGAGAGTTACCTTGTGTTGCTGCGGGAAAAGATTCTTATTATTTTGTTTTTTTTTTAGAGATGGCCATAATATGTCATAAATAAATAAAACACATCATTTGACATTTCTGGACTTATTTTTCCATCTCTGAAGATTCCAGTACTCTGATTTGAGTCTTGATTATATACAATAGCCTTTAGAAAGTACTAGTTCTAGAAATGTATAAAAATCACATGATTCCTTCAAAAATATCTCAAACTAGGAATTTACTTTGTATTTCTATATATGTCTTTTCTATATATCACAGCTAGTCTCACTATTCATTTGACCAATCATACCTTAGTCTCATAAACAGGAATTCAGTAATAGTGTTCACATCTCACGGTTGTATTTTGAGTCTTCAAATTGTGTCAAGAATAATCAATGTTTGAATGTTAAAGCCTTGTTTTTTCTGGAGACTCTCTCATATACAATAGGTGAAATACCTAATTTGAGATATATTAAAGAAATTATGCGACTTTAGTACATGTCTAGAACCGGTACTTCTGAAGACTATTATTACATATATTCAAGACTCAAGTCAACTCCAGAAAATAGTGAATCTGTCCCTTTAACATCTGCTATCAACTATTTTCACTGTCACTATTGTTTGTAAGTTTAATATATATGAATAACATATTGTTTACAAAAAGATAACAAAGAAAGGTCATGTTATTATATACTGTATATAATTGTTATTAATTTGTTTTAGTTTCTTTTTAATATATAATACAAAATAATAACAGATATTATAATAATATTGTATTTAGTATAACATGTTCTCAAGTCTAACAAACAAAATGTCAATGATCCTATTATTAAGTTTCTTTAGTAATGTCAAGGTCACAAGAAGTCCATCTTCTTGTTGAACAGGTGAAATACTTGATAAAAATTTGTTAAACAAGGTAGGGCTTTGATGGGAGGAGGGGTCTGAATTGTTTGGGACCTGAGATCCAAAACATGCTAAAATAAATGGGGTAGACATCAAATGTATATGTATTCAAGGAATTACATGGCAAATGTTTGGTGGTAAGTGCTCAGATAGATCTAGAAATAAAAAAAGCACTTTTAAAGTTGAAAGTCTGTGATATTTTTCTGTTTTGTCTTCTTTCTATTTAAAGATATACCTCTCAGAATGACTAAAAAATTGAAATTTTTAAACTTGGTTAAAATGAGTCTTTGTTCGTCAGTGGACTTAACTGGTGTCATAACTATACAACAGAATCTCTCTATAATCAAATAAATCCATACAACTAAATAATAATTCATTAAATTAAGTCATTTTGAAACATGCTTAGAAAAGTTTTTCAATAATTACTTAGTTTAATGGATATATCTTCTTATATAGAGATTCTATTCTTTAATCATGTCACCTGGTAAGTCCAACTGATATATACATACACTTGTAGTATCTATTTAATATGGAATTGTGCAATAAGAATTAAATACAACTTCTTTGAATATTATAGTGTTAGTTTTCTCATAATATTGGTCATATTGACTGTAGTGCAAAGTAATAAACCAGCCCATGGTAGAGAGGATAGGTAGATGAATGAGTGCTAGAAGTGTCAATTTATTCTTAATTCATATTGTCGCTTCTTATCTTGGCTATCTACACAAAAATGAAGAAAATTTGTAGGGAAATTTTAAAAAAAATCCACTAACTGATAAGAAGAAAACATGAAGTATGTAAAAACTATAAAATTCTCTATTTCTTTTCTATGATCTATCATCATGTTATCGTAACATTATTTATGGAATGTATTTCTTTGTTATGTGCCAGAATCTGATGAGAATTTATTTCTTTGCAAACAAGACAAAGGAATTTGTTAAAGTTGGATTCCCTTTCTTTCTGAAATAATTGATTGTTTGTGATATTTGATTTATAATTGATTAATGTATCTAAAACTTATTCAAATTTGTCTATGGTTGCTTTAAGTAAATTTTGGAAAGTAATTTATGTAAAATTGTTTTGTGTATAGTAGCAGAATGAAACTTTATTGAATAAGTATCATCTTTAATATGTAGACACTTTAGATTAGATGCTGATAGGACAAACCCCTGTTTAATATTAGTTTGTGTGTTCTTGAAGGATAAGCATTTGGAACTATTATTTCAAGACTAATAGATTTTATTGACACGTCGGCCATGTTAAATCCAGAATGAGGCTCAAAAGGCAAACTTGGTGTCACTGCAGTAAATCACCACCTTGACGTGTACATGGATGATGTAATTTGCATTATGAACGTCGCTTTCAGTCTCTCAAAAATGAGGCGTTAATAAGGTCTTTTACGCTGAATTTCTCAAATATAATGTATTGCATAGTAAATGGGAAACCTTGTTTTGCATTTACAAAATGGTGGAGTAAAAAACAATTATGTGTATAGAATATTATAGTAGATTTGATAATGATCTATAATAAATATGATTTATATAATAACATATCCCAAGAGATTAATCATAAGGTTGAACTTAGTATATTACCTTTTAGACTGGAGAGGTTCCAGCGCTTTAAAGGGACAGGTTCGGCATCCATTTCATGAATCGAATTTTTTTTTAGCTGAACAATCAGTAATGGTTTAAACAATTACTGTCAAAATTTGGGCCTTGAAATCCATGTGTGTCTAGAATTATCCACATTTGAAAGTTATATATATACGACTGATCTTTTCTTTGGACTATATTTGTCATATATACTGCTGAAAACCATTGACATATCCAAGATACAAATCAACCCTTTTAAAATGGTAAATCTGTCCTAAGAGAATAATATGATAATATTGTTGGTTTAAATGTAGTTTTTTTTGGAAGAGGGGGGGGGGGGAGTAAAATTATGTGTTGTGAAGGTGAGGAGGATTAGAAGTCAACGCTGGGATGTTGCTGAATATTTATCGCTCACCAGTTATTCTGGATAAACTTTGATAGATCAATTTAGTTAATAGATTGATGCCATTTTCATATATCGTCCATTCACTGTATACTATTATCTATAAAGACATATACTGACAAGGTTTAGAGATAAACATTTTAAATGTTATTTCTGTTTCATTACTACTATTAAACATTTATTCATCAATAATCTAGGATTTCAAGATACCAACAGAATCATTGTGATAATATTCTTTCATCTTTTCTTTACACAAAAATTTGTCTTCCATGGGCTTGACAATAATTCATGATTGTTTGGACCACTTTGAGATGTTTAATGTTGTTTTTGAATATTTATAAGCTTCTAGAATATCAATGCAAGTAGTTTGCCTATTTCAGAGCTTTTTGTACTAAAAAAGGAACATTTCAGATCTATGATGGATCACTGCTATCATCATGTCAAATTCTGCACAGTAAAAAGTATCCATATATTTCTGTTATTTATAAGAAAGAGAATATATTGCCAATCCTTGTTCTTTGAGTAGAAAATGATATTAAGGCTTCAAAAGGATTCCTTGTAAATGTATGTATATGCCTTTGGACATTTTTTGATATCGTTTGTATTATTCTGCTTTACTTTTGGTTTCTGGCTCCTGTAATTTCATAAAATTTTGTCTTATTTATTATGGCATCGTAAAAATCATGAGCCAAGTATTGTATTTGACACAGCTCTGGTGTAATCTGATTATGTTTTCTGGAACTACAGGAACCGCAAATTGGATGAGAAGTTAAAAAGACCAATTAGTTAGTGTACCAATTATACATTCGTAGAGTAGAATATGCTTCTTGTCTAAGTTTTTTTTCATTCTCCCCTAAAGACAAATTTTTACTGACAAAGGAAGATAGAGTCGGTCCAGTTGGAATATCTCGGATTCTCGATCTAAGAATATCTTACAAGAAGAAGTAAATTATCAGGATGAGTTCTGGAAGTTTTTATCACCACACAACACTGGCAATGTCTGATGGAAGTAATATTGTAAGTGGTATACATGGAAATAATTGGAAAACATTCGTATGTCTGGCTTCTTTTCTTCAGGCCATTTCCTATTAAAATCTGATTAGGAAAATAAATTAAAAGCAAGAAGTTGAAAATTGGTTCTTAATGAGGGGTTTAACAGTCTTGATGTTAAATGTTAAAAATACTCAAATTTCAAAGATAAGGAATTGAGATATTCTAGAATCATTAAGTTCCTGGTGGTAGATTAGCTTTTCAAGTCATTTCATGTCCTTTCTTCAATATTGTGATAAAAAGTATCTTAATCTTAATTTTAAATTCACTTAAAAGATCATAGAAAGCTTGGAATTATTTGGTAATTTTATATCTTAAAGTCTTTATATAGATAGTTGAAAAAAATATCAAAAGTTTGAGGAAGCTGAAAATATGGTCTATATGTCTATGATTTGTAGTGATTTGCATTAATATGTGGGTAATGGTGGCATATTTGATCAGATGTTTGCTTACAAACCTGAAGTCCAGGATTTAATCCTGGCATAGGTTAGGATAATAGTCTTGTCAAGTGATGCTGATTGGAGGCGTTGACATGGGAATATCAGCAAGTTATATGGGAGGACAATAAACCAAGGTCAACCATGCATTACAGAAAATTCTCTGTATTGACATGTATTAGAGAACATTCTCTGTATTGACATGTATAAGAGAACATTCTCTGTGTTGACATGTATTAGAGAATATTCTCTGTGCTGACATGTATTAGAGAACATTCTCTGTGCTGACATGTATTAGAGAAAATTCTCTGTAATGACATGTTCTAGAGAAAATTCTCTGTATTAACATGTATTAGAGAAAATTCTCTGTAATGGCATGTATTGGAGAAAATTCTCTGTATCGACATTTATAAGAGAAAATTCTCTGTAGTGACATGTTTTAGAGAAAATTCTCTGCATAATTCTATGTACTGGAGAAATTTCTTTGTAGCTATATTATAAAACACACTTGATATAGGAGTCAAGAGGATAATAAATGTGATTAAGTTGAAATTGAAATCTTGTCTA